AGTTCATCTATTCAGATCGAAGGATAATTTTGTGAGGAAGATTTTTAAAAGCGCCAAATACCTAAAATCACAATATATAGTGGATTTGCTGGTTTGCTGATTTTCAGATGCTTAAAAATTTGTAACTTATGACCAGAAAATCATCTTTGTGTGGCTCTTAAAGAAATTCAGTCATCTTGTTATTTCCTTCGGGTTTCATGTTCGGCTCGGAAGCCAATTCATTGAGGAAGATATCCGAATGTGCAAATACTTGAAGATATACAGTGAAAATACAGTGAAAACGGTGTGCTGAACCAGTGTATTTCAGAAGATAAAAAATTCATAAATTCCTCCCAGTTCGACGATTTTGAATGGTCTTTGGGCATAAAGTACATCTTGATTTTATCTTCAATTCGTATGTTCAGGCCAGAATTTAATTCTTTGCAGGAGATCTCTGAAAGTGCGAATTACTTGAGAAAATTGCACTCTGAAATGGTTTTCTACCAGATTATTTCTCGATATTGTAAAAATCGTAACTATCTCGAATTTTATCGTATCAGGGAGATTATTGAGGTGTGAGATCACAAATTTTATTAGCTAAAACTTTGCTTCAGGTCCCGAGTTTGGATTGTGCCCTGAAAGCTTCTGTTTCTGGCTCGCTTCCTAAAGTGCACATCAAAATAAGCTGAAAAATCCGCATAGAGTTTTTTGTCACTGTTTGCCACTATTCCAAAAAACACAACCCTCTTGATTTTTATCGTATCGAGACGATTCTTTCGGAACAACGTCACAAATTTTGCCAGCGACGTTTTTGTTTCAGTTTGTGCATCAGGATTCTGCACTGAAAGTCACGAGCTTGTGGTTTGTTCATGAACTGTACATAAAATAATTTGAAAAATATGAACAGTGGGTTTTCTGTTCACTGTTTCTCGCCATTTGAAAATTCATAACTCGGTCAATTTTTATCGTATAGGGGAGATTTTTTCAGCACTACATCACAAAGTTCATCGTCCACGGTTTTGTTTCAGGTTTCGCGTTAGGATTATGCACCGAATACTATGTATTTATGGTTCGATCTTGACCGGTACATGAAATAAGCCAAAAAATCAAATTTACACTTGCCGAACAAGACTTGGAGCCAATTCTATATAAGTTTGAAATTCAAGTTCAAGATAACTCTTCACGCATTATTCAAAACCTCTCACAACAAATTATTTATTCTCTATCAAATCAAACTTAAGTTCTCTCTCAATTCTCTCATAAACCTCAAGAACACAAAGGAGAAAAGTCACAAAACTTCATTCCTCTTTCTCTCTAACTCCCGCCGGAAGCTCCCTCAAGCTCACCGCACGCCACCATTACCTTCCACCTTCGGCCGCCATGCGATTTCGGTGCATACTCCCTTTGGCCACCGCGATCTCCGGCCTACTCCCTCCGCTGATTTGCTCCTCCCGTCTGGCGCTTTTTTCTTCGTTCAATTTTCCGGATCTTCCTCTTTGCATATTTCGGTAATCTCTTGATTCAATTGCTTTTGGAATTAATTGATTTTATGAGATACGTGCTTAATTGATTATTTCATGATTTGAATCTCGATATTAAAGAATAAAGTGATTCTTGAGTTTGTAAACTATGGAAGCATGTGGAATTAGTTGAGTTTTGTTTTCAAATTGTTTGAATCTTGAATTTCGATGTGGTGTTTTGTTAATTGATTATGGATTATGCGTTGAAATTAATTAGTTGTTGATTTGTTCTGAATCTTGAATTGCAAATTCATTTTGATATCGATTTGTGATAAGAATTGTGGAATTGTGATGAGGATTGATTTTGTTTTCATGAGTTAATGCAATTTTGAATCGATTTGTTGACGAATTCGCTTTTTAGATGTTGATTACCTCAAATTTGATAAATTTCATTAACACTTGATTTAATTTATTTAAGGCTTGGAATCATTGCTTGCATGTGGAATTTTTTGTTACAAAGTATTTGTAATTTCTAAGCGGCGGTACATGAATCAGTGAATGTTTTTTGTGTATCCATTTGTGTGTTTTAAACTCATTTTTGTCCAATTCTGATACATGTATACATCGCTGCCCGAATATTACAAATGACTTAAAAATCGCATTTCAAATGTTGTTTGATGCTTACTTGAGCATGATTGTGCATTTATGGACCGTTGATGTTGAATTATATCATTTTCGACGTGACTTTTTGAGCAATGTTGTGTTACGGCGCAATGCTGCCCTGTTTTGGTAAGCTGAGCATAAGGCATGTTTTAATTGATAGTTAATGCTCAAGGGAATTTGTTTTGGTACTTGGACGATATTTATATCAAGTTTTGATGATTTCAGATCAATATTTTGTGCGCTTCATGAGATAACGGCAATGCTGCCCAGTTTTTGATGTTGGTGTTCCAATGCTTGTTTGTCTTGCTTTTCTTTACAATTTAATCTTGATTTAATTTGTGATGCGGATACTTGATTCTAATTAGGCCTCCTTGTTATTACTAATGTGTTTGTTGACTTTTGCAAGACATTTCAAGAGAGTTTTCAATTGTGTAATTAAGTCTTGATTATTCGATTGAAAAACATTTGTATTTCACTTTTTTTTGTGGATTTGAGTTTGCTTCCGACGCGATTGATCTTGATTCTCATTCTATGAGATATATACATTGCTTTTGTTATTGTCTGAATGTGAATTTTTGTGCAGGTGTACTGTTTGTTATGAGGATGTGTCTGATGCACACTTTACGTGTGATTTATTTTCACATTGTCGACACCTTTCCTCCTATTCCGGACACCCGATCTCTGATTGTTTTTGTTTGTTGATACTAGCTTTCACGAAGTTTTCTGAGTTTCCTTGCTTTTCTTGCTTGCTATAGACTCTTGTTCATTTGGTATTATTCTGATTCTGGTTTAATTTTCTGCATTGTCTTTTATTATCCTTGCCATGAGAAGTAGGAATAGAGATGCATGACTGGGAGTCCCTACTTTAGGTGGGAAAATCTGTTTAAAGACCTCAAAATGAAGCAATATTTATGTTTGCTTGTGTGCAAAAGACCTCGATGAAGGAAAATCCCATTTCCCTCCCATTTCCTGTTTACTTTGTACTTGCTATCGAGTTAATAAGTGCAACAAACACTACAAGAAAATTAGTGTTTAACGACACAAAAATTGCGACAGTTATGTGATAACTGTCGTAATTGACATATAGAGACAGTGTTTACGACAGTTGACACCAACCGTCCCTAATATTTATATTGCGAAGGTATATTTAACCATCATAATATTATTATTACGACGGTAAAACAACCGTCGGCCCCCATTTAACACTTTTAACATTGATTTTTCACCAACAACTAGTCACGACGGTAAAATTAACCGTCCTAAAAGGCATATCACGACGGTAAAGCACCCGTCGCACCCTTAAACCTTTCACGACGGTAAAATTATCCGTCCTAAAATTCATTTCACGAAGGTAAAACAACCGTCGCACCCAAAACCTTTAAAAATTCTCATGGGCACGACGGTAAAACACCCGTCGCCGTAAAAAAGTTAAAAAGCTCATAAAACATCCATTCACTTTCTTCTCCTGCGTTCACTTTTTCTACTCACGGTGTCGTTCATGCCGTTCTTCTTCACACCGAAAGAAACCCCTTGACACCGAAAGGAATCTCTTCAAACCGCTCATCTTCACACCAAAAAACGCACAGCAAGCAGTTTAACATCCTCTGCGTTCATCTCTTCAAACACAGTAAGTTTTATGTATCACTTTTTGCATTGTTCTCATCTCTCTCATTCTCTGCCATTGATTTCAGCATTGGAGATTCACTTGAATCTTATGGTTGAGCTCTTTGTGATGATTGATTTTGAGTTTGAATATATTGAATTGATGTTAGGTTTTCTAATTTGTTGTTTTAGGGTTTTATTTCTTTTTATGATTTTTTAGGTTTTCTAATTTGTTGTTTTAGGGTTTGATTTGATTATTAGATTAAATATGTCGCTGGACTGATTAGAATCGATGAAAACTAATATAAATTGGTGAAATCAAAAAAATTGCCTATTTTCTTAAACAATGATTTATCAGTAATGAAGTACTGGAGTACTGAAAACTCACTCATATGATCACTGATGCAGTCAAGGATGGAAAGTGGGAAGACATGAAGACGGGAAAAAAAGGCCCCAAGATAACCCACCTCATGTTTGCGGACGACTTACTGCTCTTTAGGAAAGCCACTATTAAACAAATGCAGGAGATCAAAAGTATCCTTTATCACTTTTGTGAAATCTCTGGTCAAGAATTAGCAAAGAAAAATCTAGCATAATATTTTTCTAAGAACACTAATGATAGTACGAGGAGACATATTATTGCTGACTTAGGTTTCAAGGAAACAAGAAATTCATGATTGTACCATGGAGTTCATCTATATGGTAATAGCCCTGAGAATGCATAATACCAACATCTTTTGGATACAGTTAAAAAGAAGTTGGCAAAGTGGAAACATAAGTATCTACCAATGGTTGGCAGGATTACTTTTGCCAAATCTATGTTGGAAGTTACTCATACCTACTCCATGATGTGAAGAATGATCCCAATGAGCTGCCTCTAATAGATACAACAAAATGCAGAGATCTTTCATATGGGGATACAATGAATGTGCCAAACATCTTCATACAATCCACTGGAAGAAGATCACTTGTGCTAAGAATCAGGGAGGTTTGGGGCAAAGAAATCTCATTGACATTGGGCTTGCATCGCTAAACTGGCTTGGAAGTTAAAGAGTGGTGAAAGAGCTTTGTGGTGTGAAATCTCATTGATATTGGGTCTCCCTATCTTAGTCCTTTATTATAGGGAGTGTTAGTTTTTGAACTCAGTTGTAATTGGAGAGTTGCTTTCTAGAATCAGTCAGTTTATTGCATACTCTGAATTCTTTTGAGAATTCTTATCTTCTTTCCTTGTACCAGTTGAACCTTCCATAATTCATGTCATCTATCTTTAAATTGTTGACTCTGTCTTAACCCTTTATGCAGGAGAAGAAAGCTCTGAAGGAAGAAAAATTGAAGCAAGAGGAGAAATACACATGGGCTATTGTCGACGGTGTTAAAGAGAAGGTAAAGAAGAGAATGTTGATTGTGAGGAAAACTGCAAGAGAGGAACAAGTTTTGGAAGCCATTTTAGTAAAACTCTTGTAGTAATATAGCTAGTATTATGTTGCAAATACTAGTTATTAGCTACTATGGCTTAAGGGGAGAGTGTGAGTTATAGTTGTGTATGATATAGGGGTTTATATAGTGCTTGTGAGGTTTTACAGTATACCATGTGGGATGAGTTGTATAAAGAAGTAATGGACAAAATGTATAATAATTATAAATTATGAAATGGTACAATAGGAGAGATTGAGGAAATGAAGCAACATGTGAAAGAGTGAGATATTACTGAGAGTGAAAAATATTTCAAAAACCATGTAAGATGTAGGTAAAATGTATTTGTGGCATTTTTCTATTTTCGGCATCTAGTTGTTAAAAGTTTACAACACTAAGTTTGTTTTTGCCTTTTTTTCCTGCCCCTCTTCCTCAATGATATTAGGACAATGAATTCTTACATGATGTCTTTGGTTTCACACCCAAGAAAAAGCTTAACAACGGTGAGCACAGAATGTCTGGTGGTGAAAAGGTGAGTTTTGTCCTGGTAGTTGTGCTACATAATCTCGTGATTTAGTTCATGACTTTCTCCAGATTTCACTTATTATCTGCTGATCTCCCTAAATTTTTTACATGCAGAGGATGTTCAAGTCACCAAATTCTGTTTTGAACAAGGCTAGGACCCAATTACTTAACAAGCAGCGGGTATTATCGGAGGTTAGCATTCTTGCTATATCAGTTGCATGATTTCATCTTTTCTGATTTATACATGATGCAATTCAAAGTCTAAACATTTGTGAAAACCTTCGTTGAAATATATGTTGAATAAAATATGCCATTTATGAAAACTTTGTTGTCACTTATGCAAACATCTGATAAATTTAGATAGCACAAAATTACTTGTATTTGTCCCTTTGGATTTAGTTTGACTGGATTCCATTTTTGTTGAATCAAACAGGGAAGGAACTTCGGGCATTATTCAGTCAGTATGGGAGATGATGAGACATGAGTTTGAGTGGGAACACAATATGATGTAATGCTTTATTTCAGGATTATATTATTCATTTGGACATGTATTTATCGTGTCCACTGTCGCTTTGTTGTATGGAATTGTTTAACTTAATCGTTTGCGAACTAGATTCGGGTAATATCGTACGATATTACTTTAAAACAATACTCCAGCTGATTCTATTCTTATACAACACCTTTTATACGCCTTTTTGGCTTCTTTTATAAGAATATTTTTGTATGGATGTAAATAAAAAAATAGTTGTTCTTAATTAATATATTTTTTATATTTACGGAATTATAATAATAAGATTGAATTTGAATAATTTTTTATATTCACTAATATATAATTTTGATGTTTACTACTTTTAGTGTACTTAATACCTATACTTAAAAAATATATATAATAGAAAAATAAAAAAAAATCAAGACATAAACAAAAGTTATGGCGACAGTACCGAACCGTCGTAATCAACAATTAAAAATAATCAACAAAAGTCATGACGGTATCGAACCGTCGCCATAAACAATTTAATCAATTTCAAAAGATATTCACGACAGTATCGAACCGTCGCCATCAATAATTAAAAGAAACTCAAAAGATAGTCACGACGGTATCAAACAGTCACCAATACTTGATTATGTCAGCTCCAAACCCGTCGTAAACTTGAACGACAGTTTTTGTAACCGTCGCGAAATAGGTTGGGGACACACACTTCTGCGACGGTAAAGCAACCGTCGTGGAAAGCAAATTGCGACGGTTTTAACCGTCGTAATCTACAAAAATACCTATCGCAATCTGCCAATTTTTTTGTAGTGAAAGGGCCCGCAATCGGCCCCCACGGTTTCTAGTCTGTGTCGTTCTTAGCTCGCGTTACACGTTATTGCTTTGAACCGTGCCCACTCTTGTCCGTTGAGTCAAATAAAGTGGAAAAATTGTTCTTATCTAACCCCTACACTTCGTCGAACGTTTCGATGATGTTATCTCACGTTTCTTCAAACATTGACGCTCCAAGTTGTTACTTGATATCAGTGCTCAAGCAAATCAAGTGGAAAGAGTTCTTTACTCCCACTTTGAGATCCATTGAACTTTTTGTTTGTTATTAGCTCGCACCCGATTTATATTTTGTTTTTGGTTCGACTTTGCTTGATTATGCTTGTGTTTATGCTTCTCTTTAAACCATTGCACGATCCCTTAGGATTGCTTGTCTCGTTTTTTATTCATGTTGGATATTAGGTTGTAACCCTTGCATGTTCCCTTAGGATTGTTTGTTTTGTTTTCGATTCAAGTTGTACATTAGGTTGTAATCTATGCATGCTAACTTAGGTAGAGATTTCCCTTTGTTATCTAGACCTTAAGACCATCATTGTATGATAGCTTTAGGGATAGAGATAGATAATTTACCTTAGACATTTTTCTTTCCCTTTTTGCATGATTAAAACTAAAAATATTCTTGGAAAATTCCAAAACACTTAATAATTGTATGCAGTTGAGTCTTGTGGGGTAGAGCGAATCGATTTAGACCGAATATTGCTCTGTTTTCCCTTCCAGACTTTATTACGGTTCAAATTGCAAATTCTTTCTCAATAAAAGGTACAAACCAATGTAAACCTATTTTTGTCTTCAGACTTTTTCCTTTAAAACCTTTTCAATAAGGATGTGTTATTTCAAATTCTAACAACTTAGAAATGCTAAGTGTGCGAGGGACCGAGCCTGAGTCTCTTTACGATCCGCAATTCCAAGCACGAATTGCAATCCTAACCATAAGGATGTGAATACAGCATTATCCATAAAAAACACAAAACAAATGGAAACTTTTGATCCAAGTTACAACGTTTGGATTCCTTAAAGGGATACTTAGGAATTTGGTCGCGGGGCCTAGGTGAGCAAAACTTTGAAAATATTCCTTCTTTTCCCTGGGTTTTCTTTTGCATGCATTCCCTCTTTGTTTTTTTTCGTTTAATCCATAAGCATTAGATTTGAACACACCTTTTGATTAGAACAACGAAAGTGGATCCCGTGGAGTACCATAAACATGAGGGGTGTTAGTACCTTCCCCTTTGCATAATCGACTCCCTTACATGTATCTCTCGGTCACAAGACCTTGATTTCACCCTTCTCAGGTTTACTCAATGTTTACCTTTCCCTTCTTGCGGGATAAAAAACGTTCGATGGCGACTTCATTGATTTTCTCTCGATGATTATTCGTTCGGTTGTTTTAACTGGAAATTTCACTTGGGATAGATTAACCAATTGTTGGTCTATCCCGAAGTCACTCCTAGCTTTTGTTGTTTTGCTTTCTTTGCATGTTTCTTTTATGCTTTATAGTTTGCTCATTTGTACATGTTTATCTGAGCATATATATGCGTTGCATCTTTATTGCTTTCCATATACTGGCGTTGTGCTGGATTATGTGTTTCCTTGTTGGATGGGTGTTACTATCGAGGTAAAAGACCCAATACCCATACCAGAGTTGTAAACTCTTAGGAACACATAGGAATAGAGTGGAAAGTGATGGCTAGTGGATGTAGATCTTTCTAGTGTGATTATGTCGTCCAGGCTCAGATGAGGTTTAAATGAGGTGCTATCATCATCACGTAGGTGTGAGATGATAGAATTTTCAGGTGAACCCATGATTTTTAGTTACCATTGACCTTACCTTGACCTAGATTTCACTTGTGAGTGGGGCAGGATGAGTCTTACAGGTACAGTTGGTGACTCTGTGCTTCTTATGGTTCTGTTCTAGATTTCTAATGGTGACTATTTGTTGTGATGGTGACAGTATGTTCTGTTGGTGACTTGGGTTTCTTTGGTTTATGTTCTGAACCTTTGATTATAGTATTCTCGACATATTCAGAAACAACACAATGGATACCCAGTGTTGTGGAAACCTTGATTCCATGTTATTTAACATGAATCATAACATTCATAAAAAATTTATAAATGGAAAAAGTTAACACACGTATTCTTTCCATTTCCAAGGAGTCGTGCTTGTAAGCCTTGTTTTGTGCTTTTCTGTCTCTTACTTATAAAAAAAATCAAAGCATGAGGGTTCGTTGAAAATGATCAAACATGGCCTTGCATCCACTCATTCACCTCATGCATCTCCATGCATTCATAACAGGCACTCGAAGCTGGGGGGAAATTCTCATTCAGACCTGGTATTCTCTTCAAAATTGCATGCTTGAATCCTCATAGTTATATGTTCAGAGCCTGGGTATGGAATAACTCTGAGGGGGATTAACCGATATGAAAGGACAGATGGGGTTGTTTATGGTAGACATGCAAAGCCATGGTCCATGGTCAAGAATTTATGAAAGATGAAAATCTCCGATTGAAGACCAAGTTGAGTCGGGTACGAAAGTTCTGAAACAACATCAGCAAAGGAAAGTGATCCTATACATGTTGTTGTATCATACGGTGGTAGAACCGACTATTTTTACTGGTTTGCGTTTTTCATTTTTTTGTTCGTAAAATGTCGCGGTAAGTAAGAGTCGCCACCGACTTTTATTTCATCTAATCATGGAAAAGGAAAAAGAACAGAAAAACATTTTTTCGATATTTCTGAGTACGAGGGGTAGATTATAGATAGGGAAGGTGTTAGCACCCTTTCTATCCATGGTTTTCCATGGGCTCTTAGGTACTTGCTCATCTTTTTAAAATTGCTTGTGTGTGCGCTTGTTTTGAAAAGTTTTAATTCGTGATAACCCTTGTATCAGTCCTCAAGGGTGTGATGAAGTTGTTTTTGAAAAATGTTTTGAAAGGTGTTTGTGTAAAAAGTTTTGTTGAGTAAGTACTTAAGATTCTACCTAATCGAAAAAAAGATTGTTCGTTCTCGTTTCCTTTAGACAGCGCTATCCTACTATTAAGGAGTAGGTAGCCCCGTCGTTGGAGTTTTTAAGGGACGTTCGAAAGGGACAAGTACAGTCACTAAAGAAATGGGTTAGGAACCTTAGTAATAACCCTAAAGTCTTAAGATCTTTCCGAGGCAACATTTCTGAGGCAACATTCGAATGGGACGGTTGATCTTTTAGACAGGAGGGAAACCACTAAAATCTCCTATGCTTAATGACTGTTTACCAAAGGCAACCGAAGTGAGCAAAACCCTAGGAGTGAACATGTGCATGTGAATTTTTCAGTTAATTAATCTTTTCACATTTAAGTGATCTACCATTTTAATTTTCAAGTATTCTTTCCATACAATCCTATTAGCCATGCATCTAGACAGTTAAATATTTGCAAGAATTTAAAGTGCGAAAATATAAAACCTAGCTATTACAAGGCTTTGACAGTTACATAATTATCTCGACTGAAAAAATGTGGAATTTAAAACCCTAATTAAATTCTATTACAACCTCGAAAAAGTTACAATTATAATAAAAAGAATTAAAATGCGCGCGGAGAATTAAATGCGAAGAATTAATTAAGAGACCTAAAATCTAATTAAAAAAAATTATTTGGTTATTTTTTGGAGAAAAATTAATTATTTACAACCCTAATTTCTAATTAGTTTTAATTATAAAAAGAAATTGAAATTAACCTAGTTTTCTAATTAAATTAAAATAAATATTTTATGAAAAAACAAGATCTTTTTGTGATTTATTGATTTTATGATTAATAAAAAAAGTAATTAATTTTTGGTGGAAAATAATTAAACAAATTAATTAAAATAAAAGAAGTAAAAGAAAGAATTGAAAATGGGCCTGTTTGCATTGCTGAAAGAGGGGGTATATTGTTGAATTTCCCTGGCCCAATAATGCTGAGCCCAGTCAACGCGCCTGATCCCATGGAGTGTTGACTTGAGGGTGCATCGTGGTCTCTCATTTGGAGTGCATTGGATCTGATACTATGCTGATCAAGTGGCTGGATGTAAAGGTGCAAGGTACATGCGTGGAATTGTGAAGCATTGGATCTGCAAGTGAAAAGTGAGAAAATAAAGAAATCTATTGGGACCTGGGATCGAACCCAGGTCCTCTTACTTGCCAACAGACGCCTTTGCC